AGAAGAACATAAGAATCTTAATTTTCTCCCGACATCCGAGCCACTGAGGACGCAGTGCATTAGTTTTGTTTTTAATGGTAATGCGCCACTGAATACACCTAAATTTGTTTATGTCTGCGCAAATCATAAGGCAGGTTTTGTTAAAAAGTTAAAACTCAAGGATAGATCAGTACCCATTGTTCGTGATCCAGCTGCATCTCCAGAAGAAGTAAGTCTGACACTTTATATTTTTTATGATTATTTGCAAATCGCCTTCCAAGGAAGAAAGGGGCGGGTGAGCAGAGCTCATTAGCATTTAAAGGGACATGCCCCAAAACGAGTCGCTGTGAACAGAGCAAGGTAAAAAGGGTGTTGTTTTACATGACCACTGAGGGACTTTAACCAAAGTATGTAGCAGACCTTTCATGAAGACCCTAAGGAATCATACCAACTTGTGGAAGATCAATGTCCCCTTTGAAGTACAGCCACTACAAAACCAGACTTACTTTGAGATCATTCTGAGGTTAAATACATATTTCAAATCATAACAAGAAATATTTTATTAGCTATGATACCGTTTTTGAAATCAAATCTTTACATAGCTATGACAGTAAACACTGGAATCTAACAATGCCTTGGAAAAAAAACAGTTAATCTTTAAAAAATTAAGCATAGCTATACATAAACCCATATAGGAAATAAAAGAGTTATTGAATAAGCATGTTCTAAACTCCTGAAACATTGGTGTTTCATATTTTAGAGCAGACACTGCAATTTATGAAAGAAATCAATTAAATCTGTATGTGGGGGTGTGTGTGGAAAAAAGCAGATGTAACCCCCTTTGTAATCCTTAACATTTTCTCAGTAACTGTAACTGATTACAATTATTTTTATTTTGTCATTAAATTACGTAATTCTGTTACATGTAACTAGTTACTACCCAACATGGCTGGTGGCAGTGTTAGTTTACTTGCCAGCTTTGTATTGGCGGTTCACAGGAGTTCCTGTGCTTTCTTCTTGTCACGAATCTGGTCTATGAACTTCTGTTCACTCACCACCAGAGGTCACCCGCTCACTACATGGACTCTCACACTACACAGACTGTTACACTATACCCTGGACTACATTTCCCATCATCCATTGCACTGATTGCACACAGCTGTAACCAATCACACGCTCACCTGAAACCTATTACACACACTATATAACACCCACTCAGATCCTGCTCAAGTCGCCGAGTATTGTTTGTGTTTATCACTCTCCAAGTGATAGCACTTTACGGAGCCATTTCCCTGTCTTAGTTTCTAGTTCATAGTTTAGTCTATCTTGCCTGTTTTCCTGTGTGAAGATCTTTGCCTGTTTATTACGGATTACCCCTTTTGTCTAGCCCTCTGGATTCTGTTCGTCTATCGAAGACCCACGCTTGTCCTAGGATTACTCTTTGTCTTGCCTTTGTTGTACCTGTTTGCCATTGTTTGACCCATGCCTGTTATATGACCACGTCTCTTAATAAAAGCACGCACATGGATCCGTTCGCTTCACGTCTCTGTCGCCCCGTAACACTTCTGATCTGACCTTTATAATGGGAGAACTGGACCGTACCTATAAGTTAACGGAGCCATCAAACTGTCTAAATGCCTTTACATGGCAGGAAAACAGGACACGGAGTCAGCCCGCATGGGCTCACACAGGTAAACTGGACCTGCACACGAAGAGCAGAGAACATGTCTGACAGTTGACATACTTGCACAGTGACTGGGTTTACAGAGCACACAGGGCTGTCACATGGTTTCACTCTGTGGGAGTTATTGAAATACATACACACACATGTACACAAACCAGCCTCCCAACAGGACGTTTCTATGAAAATTGCAAATTTTTCGTTTCACTTTCATCTCTCACCAATCGTACCAATTCCTATTACATACCTATAACATTTAAATCCTATTATTCTTGCATTTTTTTTTGTTTTCTTTAGCTCTGTGAGAGATCTTACCGAGAGCTACTTTAAATATCCTCTGTTGGAGCAGTACCCGAGGACCAAACACTTCTCTTGAGGATTACTGATCCGATACCTCCTCTGCCGCACCATCACTTTCTTGGCCCTCATGCTAGCCTGCGTCTACCTTTGCTATTACATCCGTCTCTCCATCACAGATGAGTTTCAATGCGAACTCATCCGAACTGGCGCGGTTATCAATGACTCCTCAGTACCTCCGGTCATGCAGTGCAAGCTAGTTGCCGTGGGCATCTTTCAGCTCCTGAGCTACATCAATCTTTGTGTGTATTTGCTGCTGTTGCCATTGTGTTGTACATTCAGAAGGACCATGGGGTTCTTGAAACCTTATGAGATGTTACCCACAATAGGGGAAATGCAGTTTGGGCAGGTGACCTGGGATGATCAAGCACTATATCTGCTGTTTCTGGAGGAGAACCTCAGTGAGCTGAAGAGTTATAAGTGCCTGAAGGTGTGTTGATCGGTTGATCTTTGTTGTTGTGTGATGCCTATAATGTCTGTGTTCAATTTTTTTCACGTCACATTGATCACTGTGCATATACGCAGTGTAAATTGTTTATTTAAATTACCTTTAATTGGTAGATTAATCAGATTAAACGTTTTTGCATTTGATTAAGTTATTTATGTCTCTTTTTTTTTTATAGTTATGAAGCAAATCATTAGGTTATCACTATCAACTCTGACTGATGGGTAGTATCAACAATTTCGAAATGCATTTGTTTATATTCATATTGACTATTCTGGAAATTAATTGATTTTAAAGGCTGCCCAAAAAATAACAAAACATCTGTTGTGTGACTATCAGTTTTTTTGGTTTAAGAGATTGTTTTTTAATATGTGTGTTTTATGTATGCAGGTGTTGGAGTTGTTAAAAGAAGGGGGAGACGACTCTTTTGACACCATGCAGCTGTTGCAGACTCTTGGACATGTTAAAACAGATTTGGTGGATGGCAAATTGCCAGAAAAGGACCGGAAAATCTCCAGCACCAACAATGGTGACACTGACGACGTATGAGTGCAGCGCTGTGCATGCGCCGGTGAGTCTCGTGAAAACCAGCGTTTGTTAACAGGAGCAAAGGAAGCAGTTTCCTTACTTTAGCAAAGGAAAACCAGTCTCCTCTTGGCTTATATCGAAATCCTTCTACTTCTAATCTTGTACTTCTAATAAGTGACCGTTGTTTTGTTTTCATCTCTCCGCTGCGCTTCCGCGTTCATCACTTCTGAGCGGCGCATGCACAGCTGACCTCATACGTCATCCGCCCGGAGCTGCTTCCGTGTACAACAGTGAGCGCAAGCTACATTAAAGTGATTATTATGTTTTGAATTGGATATTTTTCTTACAAAAACACATCGATTCGCTACAGGAGGCCTTTGTTCACCCCACGGAGCCGTGTGAGACACTTTTTATTAAGGATGGGCTCTTTTTATTTAACTTCTTTTGGACTGATGCATGCAACACCCGCTGAGTGGTATTAAACAGCTTGAATGATCAAAGACTATTTTTAATATAACTCCGACTGGATTCATCTGAAAGAAGAAAGTCACATACAGCTAGTTATGCCTTGAGGGTCAGTAATTTATGGCCTAATTTGAATTTTTGGGTGAACTAACCCTTTAATGTCATCCTTGGGTAGGTGCAGTTGTGCCACAACATGTGTACGTGCTTGACCTGGAGAAAGCTTATGCCAGTGTCACTGCTGGACATGAGCTGTACATCCAGTTTATAGAGACACATCAGTAATCATTTGCAGTTACTATGTTTTCTGATGTACAAGGTGATTGAAAAGAAAGGAGCTCATGAAGGTACTCCAGCTTTCGATCTGTGGAAAGCTACACTCTAAAAAATGCTGGGTTAAAAAGGAACAAACCCAGATATTGGGTTGTTTTTAACCCAGCATTTTTTAGAGTGTACTTACAGATAGTTAAGCCCTTGAATGCACTACTAAAGGGGGTGTTTTCTATGAGATGCCCAGAATAATCTTACCTTGTTAGGAGTAACGTGCAATCCCTGGCTGGGAAATGGGACGCTGTCATTCAGAAACTTACACCTGCACCTGTGTTGGGTTTTTCAAACTGGAAGTCACCTTAAATCCTCACCAGAGTCAGTGGAAATGGGATTGCTTTATAGTCCAAAATGGAAAGACTAGAATGACTGCCTATGCCAGCAGTGGTCTCTCTAAGGAGATAAACTATCCCTCGTACAAGCTGGAGTATTCGGCACTCAGATGGCTCTTTGCGAACATTTTCATTATTTTCTGTATGTCACAAAGTCTATCATGTTGACAGATGTATGTGTGATCAGCTAAATTGGAAGTGGTTAGACGGGTGGCCCGCAGCCCTGCCAATGTTTGATTTTTATACTAAATACAGAGCAGGAGAAACTGCCCAGATAGCAACATAGTGTCGGCCCAGATGCGGCTCACATCCGGCACATGTGGAAAGATGATCTGGCCCACATGTAGCGTGGAAAGATGGCACTTGGGCGGACCGTTCCCGTTTGCCAGATCTGGGCCAAAAGCAGGCCATAGCAATGCCACATGTCAGCCAAGAGCAAAGAAATAAACCACACTGGACCTTTTCTGAGCCACATAATCGGTGTATATTATTTATAGAGTCCTCTCATCTTGTCCAAGCTTGTTAACAAGCAAAATCACTGAAGAACAGAGAAACAGAAACTCGAGAACTACTCACAGCCTTAGATGAAATCAGCTGAAGATAAAAGACATTAAATCTCTGAAGATCTCAGCAGAGGAGGATTAAACAACTCCACAAACAGCACTACCAGCTTCACTTATTACCAACCAGACTCCCTTTATTCCTGTTAGAGGTCTTAAGGACTAGTTACCCAGCTGATCAAAGTCACAAACTCAGACGAACACCGTGTGCCTGAAAGTTGTTTATTTAATATTTTAATAATTTCTAATTTTTTATTTATAAACGTACTATTTACAATTATATCACAATAATAAAATATATTAAAAATAAACAACAACATGAAAATGTTCGTCATCAGCAGGCGACACGTGACACGCACGTCATCAGCAGGCGACACGAGTGGCTGCAGCTCATAACAACAGGTTTGTGGAGTTTACTAATCGTTGTTCGTGTGGAGCACAATAAAAGAGATTCTAATGATCGCTAACGAGAATATAAATGCACAACGCATTTCACTCGGTATCCAGGTTAGGGTCAGCATGCTCACCGAAGAGACGACTGACGGTCACGTGTCTGTGTTTTACAGTGTTCTCCCAGCTTCACTCAGAATACTCCAGCAGCTGTGTACAGTGTTCTCTCAGCTTCACTCAGAATACTCCAGCAGCTGTGTACAGTGTTCTCTCAGCTTCACTCAGAATACTCCAGCAGCTGTGTACAGTGTTCTCTCAGCTTCACTCAGAATACTCCAGCAGCTGTGTACAGTGTTCTCCCAGCTTCACTCAGAATACTCCAGCAGCTGTTTACTCCCAAACTCGCTCAGTAACCCCAAAACATTCCCAGAATACGCGGTTTCGACGATAGCACTGGCTACTGTTCTCATACAGTGCCACATAACACAAAGATAAAGTCAATGCAGAAGTCTTGTATTTCCACTGGTGCTATTTCACATGTTTCATGACTTTATTATTAATCTAAAATGTGCAAAAGAGTCATAAAGATGAAGTAGATGTGTTGGCACTGAGTAATGCGTTGCCTGGTGTAATGGCTGCATTGCTGCATCACTAATCTACATTAACTGTTAAGCTTTATACGATTCTGTCTGTGTTTGCAAAAATATTTTCATAAAAGAAAATAAATCTTTAATGTCATTGTGCAAACAGTGTCCCACCAGAAGTCTTCCTCTAGTCTGATCTGTTAAAGGGATAGTTCACCCCAAAATAAACTCTGTCACCCTCAAGTTTTTTATATTTTGGTAACCGACCCAGTTTTGTTAGAAGACTTGTGTTGTTTTGAGATTTCTATCACATTCCACTCAGAACAAGGCAATGCGTACAGGTTTGGAATGACATTATGTGGAGTAAATGATGACCCCTTATATCTTTAAGTTTAAGTTTAAACATTCCAGCATATTTACGTTCTGCATGGCATAGTGACATATCTGTGAAATCTAATTAGAGCAGCCTGACTCGAACGGGATTTCCAGAACTGTAATTTGATTAGAATTTCAAAAATGGACCTTGAAATGGATTTGTAAAAGCCCCCCTCGTGCTCCAACTATATATATATATATGCACACACATCTGATTTGAACCGAGAGTCGGAACGAGGCTTATGCATCTCGGCTGACCGAAATCTCCAAAAACACAGTTCAGTCATGACAACTCTCGGAACATTTCAGCATGGTGATGGATGTCAGAAACTATAGTCTGAGAAAGTTCAAACATGATTAAAGGCAAGTGAACAATCAGTGAAAAAAAAGAAATACACAATTTACAAGCATAGATAAAATGAACAGTAGTATTCAGATACAGAAATTTAATAATTAAGTGTAAAATAACACTGCATAGTGTTCACTGTATGAATTAAATTTAGATTCATCTTTGTTATAGCCGTTTTGTTGTTTGGTTAACATTAGTGACATAATCAGCAGCAGGTATTTATAGGCTGCTGTCCCTTTAAATCCGACTGCACGGATCCAGTATAATGATACACATCCGATTTCTTTCTCAGCGGTTTACATTCATTTAAAACATAACTGACTGCGTTTACGAGAACGATCGTCAAGACGGGTGCTATTGACATAATTCTGTGTGTATGTGTTTGTTCAAACATGACGAGATGCGAAAGACGAATTAACTCGGTCTGAAACGCGTCTCTCTGTGTGCGCGCGCTTTGCAGGTGTGCGGCAGAACTGAAGATTGTTTACATTCATTTAAAACATAACCGACTGCGTTTATGAGAATGATCGTCGAGACGGGTACTATTGACATAATGCTGTGTGTATGTGTCTGTTCAAACATGAGGAGGAGATGCGAAAGACGAATCAACTCGGTGTTCGCGCGCTGTCTGAAACGCGTTTTATTGTGAGTCCGACAGCAAGACGAGACGGCAAAGAGTTGTTTTCTGCAACTTATTGCACTCTTTTTAACGTCAAGCAATTCTCTGCTATATGCGTCGAACTAAAACTTTGACCTTTTGCAACGTTTTGATTGATTTAAGAAGCCTATTATTAAAATTATTCAGATATCGTACGCCCTTGCGATATGCATATTGCGATATTTACATTTGCGATATTTCAATATATCGTGTAGCCCTAATGAGTATTTAAGACATGCTGCTGCTGCACAAATAGCATATAAAATAACCCCGTAGCAGATCTATACAGGTGGAGCTGGGGAAGGTGGAGGGTTTCAGAGAACTATGCGCTGCAGGAATCTCAAGTGAATGCTAGCCAGCTATAAATGCAAGACAGTAAGCTCATTGGCTGCATATGCTGCATGAACCAATCAGCTTGTGCCAAGTCGCTTAACTCTCTGAACATCATCAGTTACATTAACACCCCGTCAGCCTGCGCCATCTAGAGTTTCATGACTGAACTATATATTAATACCAACTGGAAATAGAGCCCAAGAGACTTAAGAGATGCTTTTTAAGCATGACTACAAAGCAGATCACCCTCCCTATTTTATCAGCTAGAAAAAGGCAACAAGGGTAAACTAAATAAGTTGATTACGTGCTTCAGAAACCATTCTCACATCATTTCATCTGTTTATGGCCATCAGCCGTTTTACACGATTGGCTTGCATGCCCCTTTTTGTTGAGTCCCCCGTCAGTCAGTCATATTAACGTTCATGAGCGTCATGTCACCGTTGATTCCCAAAAGGGTCGTCCCATATCATTCAGTGCCAATTTTGAGTATCATTCAGATTACAACATTGACTCCGAACACCACTATAGGCAATTTAAGTTTAAATGTGAGTCTTTTAATGTTATATATATTCCAGGAACAGTTTGTTGCCATGGACTTCCCATTAGAAAATCATATATTTTATGATATATAAATATATGCATATTGCATTAGGCTACTCCCTAAAAAGTAACTAATTACATTAGTTCGTTTTTACGGAAAGTAATGCTACTTTTGAGTTACCTTTTAAATCTGGGCAGGGCTTGCTTGTTTGTTTATAATATCAAAAAGTTTTTCTTTTACAAATGTAAAAGCCCTTTCACACCAAAAGTGAATTGTAAGGAAATGTAAATTCTGGTCTGTACAGTAGAGGGTGCAGCTCAAACAAACCTCATGAAGAATAAGACGCAGGAGAAGAAAGTTCAACACTATTCAGCAATAACTAAAATGAAACACAAAGGAAATTTTTGCTCATTAGTACGGTTGAATTGGATCATCGAAGCTCAGTAGCAAAGACATTGGTCAATAAAATGGAATCAAATACATAAATTATATTTGTCTTATTTAACATATTTAATTATTGCAGGTTTGTACAATATTCTGAGTTTGCATTTCACTGTTTTTATTCATTTTGGGGAATACTGATGTTTTTTTGCAGGTGAGATGAGTAAATACACTACCAGTCAAAAGTGTATTTACTCATGTATAAAATGTTTTAAAGAAGAGCATTTATTTAAAATAGAAATCTTTTCTAACAATAAACACTACTGTTCAAAAGTTTGGGGTCGGTACATTTTTATTCTTTTTTTTTTTTTAAAGCAATTAACTTTTATTCAGCGAGGATGTGTTAAATTGATAAGAAGTGATAGCAAAGATTTATATTGTTAGAAAAGATTTATATTTTGAATAAATTCTGTTCTTTTTAACTTTTTATTCATCAAAGAATCCTGAAAAAGTATCACAGTTTCCAATAAAATATTGTGCAGCACAGCTGTTGATAACTCTAATAATAAATCAGCATATCAGAATGATTTCTGAAGATCATGCGACACTTTATACTGGAGTAATGATGATGGAAATTCAGCTGCGCATCACAGAAATAAATTATATTTTGAAGGATATTCAAATAGAAACCATTATTTTATATTGTAATAACATTTTACAAGATTACTGTTTTTTTCTGTATTTTTGATCAAATAAATGCATCCTTGATGAGCAGAAGAGACTTCTTTAAAAACATTACACGTCTTACTGATCACAAACTGTTGATATTTAGTCTAGAGCTACAGTAAGATCATGTTCACACACAACGCTCTGCTCTTACTCCTGATTTCTGTCACCGTGGCAACACCAGAGCTGTCACTCAACACACGGAAACAAAGTAACTGCTGTTACTTATTTGAAAATGTAACTCTGATATTTCCTTCTAAATTAAAAAGTAATGCGTTACTTGAAAAAAGTAATCTGATTACGTAACGTGTGTTACCCTCAACACTGGAGTTGACTCTGTGTTTGTGTGTCACCAGGATGTCACACACATGGACTGGCGGTCACGCCACACCTGTGCTTTGTGCCGGAGTCTCCTCTGAATCCGAGCATATGGTGGCGACTGGAGCAGAAGGAGGTGAACTGACCCTGTGGAGTCACGACGGATCGCCGGTCTCTAAACTGCACCTGAGCGCTGATGAGGATGTCACGTGCGTCGCATTCTCACCGTCGACCCCCTGCATGCTGTACGCCTCTCATGCACGCACGGTTAGTGTACTAGACACCAGGAACCTGAAGACGGCTGTGACACAGCTGGCAGACGTGGGTGAGGAGGAGATAAACTGGCTGTCTGTGAACGAGAGCGGTGCTCTGCTCGCTGCGGCGGATGATTCCGGAGCCGTGAGAGTCGTTGACCTACAGCTGGAGAAAGTCATCAGGACGCTGCGGAAACATGACAACATCTGCTCGTCTGTGACCTTCCGACCTCACCGGCCTCAGAGTTTAGTGTCTGCAGGACTCGACATGCAGGTGAGATACAGAGATGGGGATTGATGGAACGGCATGGCACGTTTGCACAAAGTAACACAGACTTATCGTTCGAAATACAAAAAGTAGCAGCTGTGCGTTACAGTTCCTGTGAAGTGTCTTGAGAAATGCAGTTTTCTTCGATGTGTTAAAGTCAGAGTGGAACATGTCAAAGAAATCATCCTTTTCTTAAAGTAAACCTAATATGCCCCTTTTTACAAGATGTAATACAAGTCTCAGGTGTCCCCAGAATGTGTCTGTGGACTGTGCCTTTACAGCTCGTTGCTCACGTACTTTTGCTAAAAAACATCTGTTTGGTTTTGATTATAATGTCTATCGCACTGAAATCAAATCATTTTAAACCATATAAGTTTAAACTTCTGATATACGGTTTCTTGAGCGCACACATCCGAAGCACACGCACAGAAAGCGGTAATACTTAGCACTAAACGAAAACTAAAAGTTCTCTTTCATGTCTTATTGCGCTTAAACTGTCAAGTACACACAGGTTTATGTTAAAAACAAATGAGTTTTTCTGGCTCGTTTTCTCTCAAGCTTGCAGAGCAAGGCTAACCAGTTACTGGGTTGTTCTTTTTCACGTTTTCTGGGTTGGTAGATGCACCGGGGACCCGATTATAGCATGATACATCACCTTTAAAGTCAGGGTGGGACATGTCAAAAAAATCATCCCTTTAGTTTCTTGCCAGAAGCGTTGGAGCTGTAGCCTTCTGGGTAGCACAGCAGCTTCATGTCACAGCAGCCCTTCAGGCCACCCTTTTGAAGGTTTTGAATATATCAACCTCTCCTAGTTAACATGCAAATTAATATACTGCTAATGCAAGGTTATATAAATTAATATACTGGTGATATTTCATTTGATGTCAGTGTCAATTTATTTCTAGAGCATGATTTTAAACAACTTGCGACACTGTTTTAGCAGTTTGATATACAGTGGAAGACTATTCCACAATTTAGGGGCAATCACGGAAAAAGCCCTATGCCTTCTCATTTGTAGTCTTGCCCTAGAAACATCTTAATTGCATTATGATGTTTACATGTCAAGATCAAAACTTTTCACTCCCGTTCACATGAAAATACCATTATTCTGATTATTCGCTAAGAATTGTGGTGAATTTTTTGCTGCCATTATTCACATTACCCCACTGCACAGCACAAATGATGGACTCAGAAAGAGCAGGTGCGTTACTTACGTCTAATGCAAAACACTTTTGTATGGCTGTATTCCACGCTTTTTTCGGCGCCATTGAAATGTGATGGAATTAATTTGCCTTGCTGAGGTGCTTTTATAGATTTGCATGACTCGTATGCCTCTAGTCAGCTACTCATATGTTGTTTTCATACTTCACATAAAAGTACAGCCTGGTGAAATTGATACAGCACTCTCAAATTGTGTCTCAAACGTGTAACTGTTGCACAGAAGATGGAAATTGCGCCCTCTGTTGTATGCTCAAAGTAGTGAATAATAAAGCAACAGGTAGAGTTTATGATTAAAGGGATCATATGATGCTTTTTTAAAGATCATTATTTTGTGTAGAGGTAATTTCATGTTTGATCATGGTAGCAGAATTGAAAAGTGTAACATGTTTTCTGTCCAAATTTACCACAGTATGGTTTGTCCTTTTTTTAGGTTTGTCACTTTAGTATAGAGGACCAATTCTCACTATTAATTGCTTGTTAGCAATGCTTATTATTAACATATTGGCTGTTTATTAGTATTTATAAAGCACATTCTGCATGACCATATTCTACATCCCTAATCTATCCAACCTAAACTTAACAACTAGGCTACCTTACTATTATTAAGCAGCAAATTAGATGGTTATTGAGGCAAAAGTCGTAGTTAGGGCTGCACGATTGACACAAATCATAATTGTCGATTATTCCTTTGAAATTGTAATTGCGATTTATTAATTACGATTAAATTAATGATGTTTACACCTTTGTTTGAAGCAACTGCATGCCATATTTTTATATGAAAATAAACTGAAAACACTCTAACTGAAAAACCTTTATTGCTTTTCTATAGTATTAAGCCTCAAATGTCAACTATACATCGGATTGGTTTCTCTTTAAATAAAAAGGTAAAAATATGCATGGTATTATAATGTTATACTAAAACTAAATCAATGGAAAAACCCTTAAGATAACATGTAGAAAGAAAAAAACGCATCTTAAGCATGCAGAATAACATAAGTGGACTTTGAACGATTAATTGCTGCTTTGAACGATTATGTAATCGTGGCATCCGTAATTGTAATCGCGATTAGAAATTTGATTAATTGTGTAGCCCTAGTCGTAGTTAATGGCGAGAATTGGATCTTAAAATAAAGTGTGACCATCATTTTTTTCAAGGCCCTCATAGGTGCCTTTTTAATGAAGATTAAAAAAGAAAGTTTCTTAAGAACCAAAATCTAAAAGATCATCAAGATATATTTAGTACTTGTTGAGTTACAGGCATGCAAACTTTGGAGAAAAAACCTCGAAAGGTGCTTTTTCCCCATTTTTGAATAGACGGTATTGGCATATATTGCAACAAAGTTTGCTAAAGTCAGCATATTTTATTAATAGAACGGCTGCTATCTTTCTAAAGTCATTTTATCCCCCTGAGTTTGGCTCTGAATCTCAGGTGAAAATTGTCATTTTGAGCCCCTCTACAAAATAGTGGATTACTCAGTAGCTAAATCTTCTTCTATGATATTTAATACTTTGGCTTTCTTCTTCATTTATGTATGTCTTTTACCAGAAAAAGTAACATTTGAGCTGGGGATCTTGAGTTGGTTGAGTTGACGCAGAATGACCCTGGGACCAAGGAAAGCACCACCTGCCGTCAGAGAGTGAATTTGCATTCTCATTCTGACAGTCTGCTGTTTTAACAAAGCTAAATCTGATTATATGTGACCCTGGACCACAAAACCAGTCATAAGGGTCCATTTCTTTAAATTGAGATTTATACATGAATAGATCATCTTTCCATTGATGTAAGGTTTGTTAGGATCGGACAATATTTGGCTGAGATGCAACTATTAGAAAATCTGGAATCTGAGGGTGCAAAAAAATCTAAATATTGAGAAAATCATCTTTAAAGTTGTCCAAATGAAGTTCTTAGCAATGCATATTACTAATCAAACATTAAGTTTTGATATATTTACGGTAGGAGATTTACAAAATATCTTCATGGAACAAGATCTTTACTTAATATCCTAATGATTTTTGACATAAAAGAAAAATGTATAATTTTGACCCATACAATATATTGTTGGCTATTGCTACAAATATCCCCCAGCGACTTAACACTGCTTTTGTGCTCCAGGCTCACATATGATCTTATTTAAATCAGAACCTGCACATGCTTCATGTAGCCTATGTATGTAGCATCTTTGTTTGGGTCATGATTAAAATGCAGTGCTTGCCTCCAATTTTAAATGCACTCATATTTTCTTCATGCTTTCATTCTTTCCCACGTTTTGCTTCAAAAATTAAATATAAAAAAAAAAAGTCAGCCATCAACCATTTGTTGTAAAAACATCTGCAATCGGAACCGACCTTGAAAAATCAAGATGGTGATGCTGAATGAAATGGTTTGTTTGGTTTGTGTTTCCCATCTCGCAGGCAATGCTGTGGAACCTGCCGAAGGTGCGTCCGCTCTGGACCTTCAGTCTGCAAGAAGATGCTCATCCGCAGAGAGCGGGGCAGATGTTCAACCCTCCTCTCGCACACTGCATTGATGCCGCGTCCTGCGGTAACGTGTTTGCCTGTGCTGCTGAGGATGGCTGCATCCACCTCCTGCGGGTGTCTGAAGACTCCAGGCTCAGGGAACGAGGGATGTTCAAGGCTCATTCTCAGGGAGCATCGCAGGCTCACTTCATCAGCTTTCTGTCCCATCCGTACTGGCTGGCCACCGGAGGAAACGACGGGCTTGTGGCTCTCTGGGACCTCGGTGAAGATGCTCTGGTGGCCAATGAGAGGAAGCGTAAGAACCGCAAAAAGAAACCTAAAGCCAGAGCGAAGGCAGTCTCTCAAGTTCAAAACCAGAAACAACAGATGAGTGGCGAGGAAGCAGAAGCTGGCGGTGCTTCCTCTTGTTCAGAGACGCATGGAAAAACCGTGCCAAAACTGTCTTTTAATCACGGGGAGAAGGTGAACTGGGTTTGTCCAGCTGTGTTAAAGGGAAAGCCGAGTCTGCTGGTGACAGACCAAAGTTCCAGTCCATCTGTGTATTCGCTGGATGCGCTATAATGTTTGGGAAATCATATTAAAATGATGTAAACTTAATGCAAGATCTACAGCTTAGATTATGCCTTTCTCAGTCATTTATTGCTCATCTTTTGGTCTGATTTTCAGAGGTGGACCAAGTACACAACTCTGACTTGAGTGAAAGTACAGATCTAAGTACAGGCCAAATATTATTCCATTGTGAAGACAGATTTTTACTTAAGTAAAAGTACAGAAGTACTTGCATCTAAAAGTACCAAAAGTACTTGTCAATGCACTGTTTTATTATTATTGTATGTAATATTTGCAATGCCTCTGAAGCAACTTACAATATATTAGACTTACTGACTAGCTTGTAGTAACTTTGGAATTAAAAGCTTTTAGAATGTAAAAAAACCCCGGTTTATTTAACGCCTCTACATAATACAAACTAGCGGGAAATCACTACAAGGCTGATTACTGATAGGCTGTCTGAAGAAAAAAAATCACCCACTGACTTTCAAAGCTGCTACAGAGTAACGACTTTCTACTTCGAGGACCTTGATAGAAATGTAGTGGAGTGAAAAGTATGATATTTGTCTTTCAAATGTACACTCTAAAAAATGCTGGGTGGTTTCAACCCAACTTTGGGTCAAATATGGACTAACCCAACCATTGGGTTAAATTTTTACATTACATTTTTAACCCAAAAGTTGGGTTAGTCCATATTTGACCCAAAGTTGGGTTGAAACAACCCAGCATTTTTTAGTGTAGTGAAGTTAGTCATAAGTTTCCAGGAAAAAATAATACTCAAGTACGATACTCAAGTAAAAGCACTTCGTTACTCTCCACCTCTGGCGATTTTCAGGGTGACCAAATGCATTTTTTTCCCTGCTTGTTTGACCAAATTTAGCTTGACGTGAACTGAACAGTGCAGATGAGTAGGCATGTCAACCTGTTTGTAAAACTACTTTTGCAGAGTTTCTGTCAGATGCATCCAAGAGATACTGTACTATCCCATGAGAGAGAATTTGTAAATGGCGGGAAAGCACAATTGATTAAGACTCAGTTTTAGGTCACCTGACAATGATAACATGGCAGATGCATTATGCCCAGATGATCCGGAAGTATGGATACTGTAGAACAACGGTACATTTTCATAAGCAATAAAAAAAGAGAACATTTCAGTTTTATGGCCTGTGAGGTAAATTTGTGTTATAATAATGCTTTATAATTAAGAAATATGGACCTCATTTATAAATCATGCATATGCAGATTTGATCTTGAGTGTGCATATGCTAAAATCCAAGCCAGAGTTTATATTTGTAAAAGCCGTCTTTGTAATGGAAAAGTGCTTAGCACCACATCAGGTTCTGAGCAGATGTGCACACTTTTCTTTCAGGAGTATACTGCAGGTGTTTGGAAATCTAAGCCGTTCTTGCTCTTCAAGGCAGAGATCTGAAACCATTCAGCTGTGCACAATTTCAAGCTCATTTGCGAAGGTGTGCTTATATTCATTTCTCTGAATCACATATGCACATTTGAGCATGACTTTAGATCAAATGTAGGATGGTAGATTAGCTTGACGTGAACTGAACAGTGCAGATGAGTAGGCATGTCAACCTGTTTGTAAAACTACTTTTGCAGAGTTTCTGTCAGATGCATCCAAGAGATACTGTACTATCCCATGAGAGAGAATTTGTAAATGGCGGGAAAGCACAATTGATTAAGACTCAGTTTTAGGTCACCTGACAATGATAACATGGCAGATGCATTATGCCCAGATGATCCGGAAGTATGGATACTGTAGAACAACGGTACATTTTCATAAGCAATAAAAAAAGAGAACATTTCAGTTTTATGGCCTGTGAGGTAAATTTGTGTTATAATAATGCTTTATAATTAAGAAATATGGACCTCATTTATAAATCATGCATATGCACAGATTTGATCTTGGGTGTGCATATGCTAAAATCCAAGCCAGAGTTTATATTTGTAAAAGCCGTCTTTGTAATGGAAAAGTGCTTAGCACCACATCAGGTTCTGAGCAGATGTGCACACTTTTCTTTCAGGAGTATACTGCAGGTGTTTGGAAATCTAAGCCGTTCTTGCTCTTCAAGGCAGAGATCTGAAACCATTCAGCTGTGCACAATTTCAAGCTCATTTGCGAAGGTGTGCTTATATTCATTTCTCTGAATCACATATGCACATTTGAGCATGACTTTAGATCAAATGTAGGATGGTAGATTTTATAAACCAGGCCCTATATAACTATATCTTTTTTTCATTTGATCATCAGTAGGGTATGCATACAGAAAATACCTCTGGTTCAGAGAATCATTTGTAATGGCTACTTAACCTGAAAGTACCTTAGTTATTGGAACCAAACATTGTGGTTATCCATCTACTCTGAGTAAACTTGTCTCCTAGGAAGATGCTTAACCTCATTTAAGGAATATACTCAGGAACCTGGACTTGTCCTAGTGGTCTAAAATGCCATTTCACCATCTGTCAGTGCTGACATTATTGCTTTGAGTCTTATTACCTCCATATCGTATGCACTTTACAGACACGGAGTTGTTTTACTTATCAAATGACTTTAAACCAGCCTCATGCCACACAGCGCTCAGCTAGTTTTGAACCTGGAACGCTCCAGTAAAATACAGTACAAAGTACAGCTTAAACATTTGCACTTTTTAGCCACAAAACTTTGGAAAGGCACCATGAAAACAAGCAGTCATAAGCCATCTTTAATATAATTTACACTCACACTTGCCTCTAGCAAAACAAAATACAACACAGTTGAACAGAAGTCAAATGTTGGCTCCAGTTTTAATTCAAAAAGAGCCCTGAAGTGAAAACACGAAGGCAAATAGAAGTGTCAATGTTTTCATTCATCCAATATACTTTGATTCTGGTTGAACACACAATGTGCTGTATCTGTAGGACATGCTGTATACTCTTGGATTGGTACAACAATACTGAAGAAACAAAAATCCAGAGATCACAAAAACTGCTCTAAATTACAAGTTTATGAATGAGCTTAATTCTAGCTCTTCAGAGCTTAGCCAGGCACTTCTCTATAGCGTCGATATCAGCACCTCCGTCGTCTTTGCTTCCTCGTGCGCTGCACTCAATGAACTCCACCCGATTGGGCAGCTGAGAAAACTCGAAATCTTTGCCTTTCTTACCCAGATACACAGAGCCCCCGACAGCCCCGTCCTGAGAGGAGAGGGCCGCAGAACGCGTCAATCTCAGAGTATTCCTGTGGAGAAGACACAAACCTACAATCAATCTGTTACAAGTAACCGCAAAACATGCGACACCCAGTGTTGCGGAAAGTTACTTTTAAATGTAATGCATTACAATACTGCATTACTCCCTAAAAAAGTAACTAATTATGTTACTTTGTTACTTTTTATGGAGAGTGCGCTACATTCATTTTGAGTTACTTTTTTAATCTGGACAGGGCTTGCTTTTTTATTTTAAAAACAAACAAGTAATATTTTTGGCAAACGTAAAAGTGAAATGAATAAGCCTCAGGCTGAAGGACAAGTAAATTAACGTCTGTACAGTAGAACGCAGAAGAAAGTTCAGCACACTTCAGCAATAAAAGCACCTAAAGCAGCACAAATGTTTATCTAGAGTCATTTTTGCTTAGTACGGTTGAATTGGATCATCAAAGGTCAGCAGCAAAGACACTGGTTAATAGAATGGGATTAAATATTCTGAGTTGCATTTCATGGCTTTTATTCATTTTGAGGAAGATGGAATATTTATTTTTATTTTTTTTGCAAGTGAGAAATTAACGCACGTTCACATTTATTCTAGAACTACAGTTACATCTCACTCCCGATTTCTCTCAGCATGGGGACAGGACAGCGGTCAACCTATAAATGGGAAAAAAGTAACTTATTTGTAAAAGTAACGTTACTTTACTAGTTAAGTTTACAGCTTAAACATTTGAACTTTTTAGCCACAAAACATTGGAAAAGTACCATGAAAACAAGCAGTCATAAGCCATCTTAATATAATTTACACTCACACTTGCCTCTAGCAAAGACAATTTTATTCATTTTGAGGAATACTGAATCGTTTTTGTAATGCGTTACCCCCAACACTGATGACACCAATGCTACTAGATGTTTCACAGAGAAGCACCTTGCATGTAAACCACCTGCACATTTACAAAGCCCACAGCAATGGTAGTTCATCTCTGCAACAGAAAACACCGGAAACGTCTCGTTTCTAGTCCTGCCATTATTTCATGACTTAGCGTTACACATTTGCATAATGCACGCCCTTAAAGAATAGTTGGGCAAGCGATTTCGAGCACATAAAAAAAACTATTTCATAGTTACCATTATAGATGTAATACTGTTCATAGCTGAATCCCCAAGCAGAAATACAGGCTTTAAAGAGACAGGAGCGTTTCTGAAATGCTCTGTTTAGCTCCCGTCTCTTTAAAACCTGTACTTCTGAAAAGCCCAGTCTGCTTTGATTGGTGCAATGTACAGTATTAGACAAATACTTTTACTCATGTAAATGCATTCTAGCAGACCCCCAAAATAATATTATGAACTTGTAAATGAGCATAATAAGGGCACTTTAACCCCGAGACGGAAATGAGTGAATACTCACATCTCCTTCTCCAACTGCTGCTGAATTAATTTAGCTGATTTTGCCATGGAGATATCTACAGTAAAAGAAAGAAAACAAACATGTACTCCATACACATGAAATCCCTCTAGTCACATTTTTGCAAAATAACATTTTTATAAAACAATCATTAGTGGTGCACAGTGTTCAGTCTGGTGAAAAAAAACCTGCACTGCACTAAATCTTTATGACTCAAATTCAGAGCAAATGATGTTCTGTATTTTCTCTTTGAGGCATTGGCCAATTCTCACATCAAGAGCACCATGGATTGTAATTGAGAATGTGAAATTCAACAATAACCTTGTTTGTTGCAGGCTACCACAAGTGTGGGGGCATTTTTTGCCACTATGTTGTCTGTGAGGATGGAGTAGAGGAACTCAGCCACATCTCTGACGTCCTTCTGGAAGATGCTGCTGTCCACCACAAACACAACGGCTCTGCAATCCAGCAAAGAGCTTTCAGTCACTCAACCAAGAGGTCTCTGTCTGAACATCTAGCAGCTAGACGTACTGATAAACGATTGCACGTTTATTCACACTGAAAGGTGGGAATGGTGCTTGAACTAAA